GAAAAGAATTATCATATCACCGATCTTGAAGCTCTAGCCGTCGTTTTCGCTCTGAAAAAGTTTCATTTTTTCGTCTACGGCTTACCCACAATAGTGCGGACAGATCATCAGCCCTTGACTTGTCTTTTCAAAAGAACGAACGTCTCAGCTCGGGTCCTGAGATGGGCCTTAGAATTGCAAAAGTATAAGCTACAAATCGAATATGTGTCGGGCAAAGCAAACATAGTCGCAGATGCATTGTCGCGAATCGCGGCAAAACTCCCTGATGAAGAGCCCACAGTGTCTGAAAATGATCTTGTCATATGTAGTGTGGAAAAGCAAGAAGGCGGTTGGCTTGAAGAACTGAAGGAAGATCCGGACTACAAGGAACTCGTGGATGACGTAGCACAGAAAAACGATAACAAGGAAGTGAAGCTTCCACGATGTAAGCAAAAATACAGGGTCGCCGACTTCTATCTCGACAACGGTGACCTCAGGATGATGGTAGGAAACTCGTCAGTCAGGGTGGTTCCAAAATCGAGACGAAAGACGTTGTTCCAAGAGGCACATGAAGGTGCCATGGCAGGACACCTCAACGGTCGAAAACTGTACCGTAAGCTCAAAAAACTAGTGTTCTGGGAAGGAATGGAGGCCGATATCGCTAAGTGGTCTAAAGAATGCTCAAAATGCTTCTTAGCCAAGGCTCACGAGTTACACACTCCTCCCTTGAAGCCGTTCACCACAAGTGCTCCATTCGAACTTGTAGGGTAGACTTGGTCGAATACGGGCTGACAGAACGAGGCAACAAGTACGCTCTGGTAGTCATAGATCACTTCTCAAAGTTCTTAGGCGCCTACCCCATCCCGAACAAATCGGCAGACACTGTAGCTCGTGCATTCTTTGAAAGATGGATATGTGATGGCTGCAGATGGCCCAAATGTCTTCATTCAGACCAGGGGCCAGAATTCGTGAATTCCATTATGTCAGGTGTTTGTGAGCTCACAGGCATTGAACAATCGCTAACAAAAGGGTATAATCCCCGCGAGAATGGCATTACAGAAAGAGCAATTGAAACTCTGACAAGAATGCTGAGGAAAAAAACTGTAATCCCGGCTGATTGGGATCTGCTCTTACCAATGGTAGTTTTTGCATACAACTCTTCACCACACGAAGCAATAGGTGAAAGCCCATTCTACCTTCTGCATGCATTTGATCCCAACTACCCGTCAAACGTCATCCCTCGCGACCAGCTTTCCTTCAATCACATTGACGTAGACGATTACAAACACGAACTGCTGGCAGGAATTCAACTCGCACAAGAATGCGCTAAAGAGCTCAATGAAAAGTACAAAGCACGCATGAAAGAGGGATATGACAGAAAGAATAAAGTCGATGTGCACAAGCTACCCAAAATAGGTGACCGGGTGTTTCTCAAACTGCCCAGAGAAAAAGCCAGTAAGAAATATCCTAAGCTAACTGAGCCATGGGGAGGACCCTACAGAGTCATCAAAACGAGTGAAAATTCTGCGCTAATATCTAACATAAATGAAAAGGAAGAACCTATCCAAGTTCCATTTGACTCGCTTATAATCCTTCCTCTTGAGCTCGAAAATCTACCAAGGAAGACAACAACAAAAAGAGTCAAAAGGCGACATGCAAAAGTAAGCAAAATTGTTTGCAGAGCAACCGCCAATGGAGACGATACAAGTGCACTTGGACTCTTCTTTCGGTGTCCGGGAAAGTATGCTCACGATGGCAGCGGATACTCGTACTCATGCACCGTGCAGCAAAAGTGTTTCAAGGATGTCGTACCAACCGCGTCAGAGGCAATCGGAAATATTCGATTCGATTCTATCTTTTCTCTTGCGAGACTGATTTCCATTCATGAGTATGAAAAAAGTGAGCAAAACAAGAGATTTCTGATGTTAGATAATAAGCATCCTTTCATCACGTGAAATTCGCCAAAACAAAGCGAATGGGACGAAGTGGGGCTGAAGGAGCCCACAAAGTTGCTGATCATTCTTCCGGATAGCTTCCGTGCCATTCACAGCGTTTTCCGAGAACAACGCGATGTGGAACGTCAGTTATATAGTCGCCTCAGCGACATAAGCGGACTCCTAGAGAACTCGACAGCAAGGACTTGTCTGCTCATTGGTCCTACAACGGACACGCCTTTTGCCAAAAAGGATTGGTGCAGATTAGCCTCATCCTTGGGGACGGCAGCCCGCATGGGAATGAAGATCATCGCAGTCGCTCCGCCACGTGGAGACAAAGCGTATGAACAAAACAGGAGCGATCTCAATGATGCCATCAACCTCGCAAAATCATCTGCGGTCTTGTCGAAGCAGTGTCTGTGCAGCCTCATCCCCAGCATTGAATCTGCGAGCGAGCCCTCTCATGGGCCAGGAGCACACCCAAGAAATTCGTGTGCGGAACCTTATTCAAAAGATGTCATCAAAGAATACTTTCAGGTTCTTCGTGTATACGTGAAGTCGGAGGTGGACATGCCACCCATCAGAGCGATTGGAGAATCACGCGTGCGCGAGTATTTTAAGCAAAGAAAGGAAAAAATGAAACTGGCACGACCTCCAAAGCGATACCCAAAATTTTCATCATTCAGGACAACCCAGCAGATGTTTCCCACTCAGATGCTACCGAATGCGGTTCCAGTACTCCAGTATCCATGGATGGCCGCTTCATCATCATCGTACCGTGGCGGCAGGCCACCCAGTCGAGGACGCGGCGCACACCGAGGCGCACACCGAGGACACCCTCGCAACGGCTAGTTATTACCCCCTCCACCTACCCATTCCCCCCTCTCAGAATCTCTGAATCCATCGAAGTTCTCTTTTTCGCCCATTGTACATGTCTCGTAGCATTTTGAACGTGTTCTCCATGATGTATGTTGCTAGAAATCTCTCAATGGTTTGGATTCTCTATAAATCTTGCAGTTTTTTTCTCGTCGTCGATGTCATCATCCTGTTGATGTCAATGTCACGTATTCATATTTTTTTGATACCGGTTGTTGTTTTGCAATTTGAGATATGAATTGTTTCTTGAATTCATTGTCACTGTAATTTGTGTACCTCCGAAGTGGCAGGGACGCCACTTCCCCTAGGAGGACGCATGTTGTGGTATTTGTCTCTATTGATCACTGCATTTCTTTTGTGGTCTCTGGTCTCTTCGTGCCCTGAGCCCGCACCTGTCTCACCATGCTTTA